TATTTTTGTTTACTTTTTGTGCTTATCATAACCTAGGACTGATACTAATCTTGGCAATATTCAGTAAGGAAATGAATTGTTAAAACCAGCAGATGGAGATATGCTATAAAATAGCTTTTTATATATTGTGTTATTATCAGTCTCTGCAGGTAATCTTTAGCAGCTGAAAGCTTAACGCTAGCCACAGAGAGCACTGGAACACTTTCCATACACCTGCTGGTCTGAGGATCCTGAGTACTCCAGAAATATTATCCCATCTTGTCTTCAGATGAGAAAATGTCTTAGTGACAGCTTCAGTTGACTCTGGAGGAAAACTGCCAACTTTCCTTTACTCTTCTTCCCACTCTGGTCATTTATTTGTCAGCTCTTTTGTAACTGTAGTTACAGAAAATTGTTCAATTTCGTATCACACTTGCTATGGGCATTTACATATAACCTTTTTGCTGTTATGACGAGTCTGCATGGCTCGGTAATGCTGGTGGTACTGGTTTCATTATTTTCTGTGTTTCCATGTTGCACATGCAGAAGCCTCTTCTAAGCACTACTACTTTAACACCTGAACCTATAATACAATGTATAATAACCCACTGCCATGAGCTGGTTTGTGCTGCTTTAAAAAAAAAAAAAAAAAAAAGTACATGCACCTTTTTTGGTACATTTTGGTGCATTAGGCCATACACATTAATGTGTGACAACATTAATGTTAAAGCCCTACAGGTGTGTAAACCAAGCCTAAACATTATCTTCCTGACTTTTGTGACATTTGTTTAACCACGTCCCACCCGTACAATGTCATATGATGTCCTCAAGTTGAAGTGGTTATACTGGGGTGATGCCTGTCATCCTAGTATAAACATTTTCAGGAGGCAATTCCCTGTAATGCAGAAGTGACTCGAATGGTTGAACAGCCACTTGATCACATCTGTGGGTGATGGAATGTTGCCTCCGCCATCTGCCACCACCACCTTTCCAGAGCTCTCCCGTCCAATCGCAGATCCCGGGACTGCTGCAACTGGCAGTGATGGTGGCACTAGACAGAGAGTGAGGAACTGACATTGTTCCTCCATCTCTGTGACTCTGTAAATTGGGAACAATGAGGATTTTGTCACTTCCGTTTTCCAGTAATGGCCAGTAAGCAGTTGATCAGACTAATCTGTGTCTGATCGGCTGCACTAGGGAATAGAGAAGAGAGGAGACATTTTGGGTCTAATAGACGCCAAATCTCTCCATAAAGAGGCTCTGTCATGGCCCATGCTTTCAAAAGGGATGTTGTTCAACAAAGATGACCAAACAAAATGAAAGGGACAGCTTAAAAAAAATAGTTGAGCAATAATTGTATCTCCATGCCTCCTGTGTAAAACATCACCTATGGAGATTTTTAGGTACCATGGTTTGGTACCGCTCCATGAGCATACTCAGTTTTATAGTGTGACATGTTAGGTATCTCTTTACTTGGTTTAACATCATCTTTTATAAAAATGGTATTACAGTATCTCACGGAAGTGAGTACACCCCTCACATTTTTGTAAATATTTTATCATATCTTTCCATGTGACAACACTGAAGAAATGACACTTTGCTACAATGTAAAGTAGTGAGTGTACAGCTTATATAACAGTGTAAATTTGCTGTCCCCTCAAAATAACTCAACACACAGCCATTAATGTCTAAACCGCTGGCAACAAAAGGGAGTACACCCCTAAGTGAGAATGTCCAAATTGGGCCCAAAGTGTCAATATTTTGTGTGGCCACCATTATTTTCCAGCACTGCCTTAACCCTCTTGGGCATGGAGTTCACCAGAGCTTCACAGGTTGCCAATGGAGTCCTCTTCCACTCCTCCATGACGACATCACGGAGCTGGTGGATGTTAGAGACCTTGCGCTCCTCCATTGTATATAGTGTTTGTGAGAAATAAAATGAATTTAGCTATATTCTTTCCAAGAAAATTGTGTTTGAAAAAACGATGCACAAATACCCTGTGGCATAAAAAACACCCACCATTTTATTCTCTAGGGCCTCTGCTAAAAATATATAGAATGTTTTGGGGTTCTAAGTAATTTTCTAGAAAAAAGTACTGATATTTACATGTAGTAGAGAAATTCCAGAATTGGTCTGGTGGAGGACTGGTTAAGGTAGATGTAAGCCCTAACAGAAAGAAATTTGCCATAAACAGTTGTAATTTTTTAAAAATAAAATAATTTTCACTTTTTGTTATCCTTTGTTGCATCTCTGTTCTATTGTTCTTTCTCTATCTCTGTTTTACTAATGGTAACAGCAGTGGACCATGCCTGCATAGTGTGCTGAGACAGCCACATGTGGGTTCCATAGAAAGCACATGTGACAGGGTAACAGTACCAAAACACAACAGGGACAACTCTTTGTCATTCTATAACAGGAAGTGCCAAAACAAGGACCTTCACGAAAAAAATGTTCAGGAATCACCAGGTTTTTTTTCATTGAAAGCTGGCAATTTAAAAATACTGGATAGGGTGACTAAAATTACATTAACATTATAAATTTTGTCTAAATCCAAGAACAAAAATGCAATAGAACAGCAACATTGTCAAATAACTGAGATGGTAGTGTTAGATGACCTAATAGATTTAGACAGATTTTATATAATGATTAACAAATTATTATTATACAGGAGTTGTTTAGCTCCAACAATTTGCACAGCTGCTGATAATAGGAATGGAGACAGTACAATTACAATATAGTTCAATACAGAATGAATAGGAGGTCCCCGTTCATGAGGCTTACAATCTAAAGGGAGGGGGAGATTGTACAAAAGTTAATAGCTGTGGGGTATGAACTCTTAGAGGTGGTAGAAATAGGTGAATGTGGGGTAGGCTTCCCAGAATAAATTAGTTTTGAGGGATCGCCTAAAGACAAACAGGGTAGGAGCTAACCAGACATACTGAGGAAGGGAGTTCCAGAGGATGAAAGAGGTTCTGAAGAAATATTGGAGGTGAGCTTGGAAGGAGGTAACGAGGGAGCTAGAGAGCAAAAGGTCTTGAGAAGAGCGGAGTGAACCCTATGTCAACATTTCTGGACAGCTTGGTCTGTTAAAGAAAGTGGGAAAAATAATAGTGCTACTGGCAGGATCAACAGGCAGTGTAACTATGTTGTGGGAGGGGTTTGTTAATACTGCTGTGTTAATGCGACTGACAGACTGCATTTATGTATTTTTTCCTTTTCCTTAGTTCCACTTGAAGCCTTATAAGAGAATTTAGAGAATAAGTTTGCACATACTTTAAACTGATTTTCTAATGCTTATAAAAGATTCCTGCACAGGAGTCATTGCTAGTAATGATTAAATCAGGAGAATTTCTGAATTGCTATTTTTAATTCAACTGAATATTTCCATGCAGATCTGTTTGATCTACAGGGAATCATTCTATTCAGGAGTCCAGACAATAGGAAATCATTGATTGTGTGATTCTATTCAGACAGAATACATTTGAATGCATATATGCAAGCAAATGAAGAAAAGATCGATTTGCAGATTCAACTGATTTGTCAATCAATTCTCTTTTCATTAGCCATGACAGTTACTTACTTTGAAACTTTGATATTTAAGTGGATACAGGGCTGCAGCAAATACAATAATGCCATTGCACAAACAAGATTATTGTACAGGGCGGAGTGTCATAAAGCAAAGGTAGCTAATAGCAGAGTCTCCATTCAGCCACGGTTCACAATGATGCGGTGCGGCACATAACATGTGATTCGCAAAGGAACTGCACTGCATACCTGTGCAAATCACATGTGATTTCTGTGCGGTGCAATTTTAGCCTTACATTTTGTATGACTCAAATCTCAACACATCCGCACCAAAAAATTGCAGGACTCTTTTTTTTTTCTGCACCAGAATCTGATTGCATGGGTATTCACACCCATGCGATCCGATTCTGCGCATCGCACCGTGTTTTACAAACTGATTTCAAGGTGTTGGCAACTTAAAATACACACCTGAAGTGGTTCATATGAACAGGGTGCGATTATGATTGTGTGCAGAGATCATATAGAAACTGGTGCGAATTCCACACCGCATCAGTGTAAACCCAGGCTCAATGCCAACCTTAACCACTTCGCACCGGCGCCTCCCAGCCCTTTAAGAGTTTCAGAAGCTGGGAGGCGGGCAGGGTTTTAGGGTCATGTGACCGCTGTGATTCGCCATCATGGCAGTCACATGATCTGAAAAGGTCTCGATCGCAAGCGGAGATCGGCACCTTTCCGTGAGTCATGGACATATGTGCTGAGAGTGCGCAGGGCACGCGCTCTCAGCACATATGTATTTTTTAATGGCACGCAAATATGCGGCCGCTCAGCATCAAGGTCCACAGAGAGGCCGCATATTTGCATGCGCTCGGCGTCAAGGGGTTAAAGTGTTACTAAACCCACAACAGTAAAATCAGTCTGTATATGCAATAAAGCATGCTTGTTATACTCACTGTGGAACCTAAGGGGTTAATCCTCCACATTGTGTAAAAAGGATGTTTGACCCTGTCTTCTCTGTTCCTTCCCTTCTTCCAGTGTATCCTAAATATCTTCTGATAGAACATAGGCTCGGGGCAAGCTGCAAATGCTCAGTTTGGTCTGTATTGCTACAGAGTTTTTTTTTTCTTGGGAGAGTGCATGTGATCAGCACAGGGCCAATCAGCACTGTCCAGACATAGGTCAGGGGTCATGCATCCTCCTAAAGCAAAATTGAAATTTTTCCTTCACATTTTCTCTTAGATTGTAAGCTCCAAGAAGCAGGGCCCTCCAGTCCTAACTCCTAACCCTCTTGTATTGAACTGTATCATTGCTGTATTGTCTCCCTTTATTTTGTAAAGTGCTGAGAAAACTATTGGTGCTATATAAATCCGGTATCATAATAATAAATAACGTGCTCTGCTGGACACTGATAGAAGTCACAAGACTGCTCTAACTGCTGATGAGAAAAGGTATTTAGTAATTTATATTTACTAAAATAATTGCATTTCCATGTTGTGTGTACTGTGGGAGACCAGATATAGTGAATGCAGGGTACTGGGTTTAGTAACACTGTAGCCTCCCTGGAGGTATTCCCGAGTGTAGCTCGGGGTAAAGTTTCAGTACTAAGCGGTAACCCCAAGCTACACTCGGGCTTACCATGCGGCGCTGCTCTGGGATCTGTTCTTCTTTTACCTTGTCCTGCGCTCCTGCGATGTCCCTCCTGCAGCGTCCCCGGCCATGTTCTCCGGCAGATGCCGGCTTCTGTCTTCTGGGTTCCGTCTCCTGCGAGCGTCGGGACGTACGGGGGATGGAACTGGCGGGAAATTAGAAAATGACAAAAAGTGACATTCACTAAATACACTAAAATCACATAGTAAAACATTACTGTATCAAACCATTTCACATACATTTTGTCCCTAGTGCTTTGTCCTGTGCCCTGCCTGCATTTTTACTGTTCTTTCTGCCTGGAAACTGAGAAATGTCCATGGCTTCCAAAAAGCGTCCCTTTAGGTCAAAAGTGGTTTTAGACCAGCTAGAGAACAGCGATAGTAAATCAGAACCACTTGCAGAATTGAGTGATAATGATTCGTGGGGAAATTCGCTCTTTAGATATTGAAAACGATTTTACGACTTTGCTCAGTGATGTGCGAACTTGGCGCTATATTTCAAATTTCAGTGTTTTTGGTTTGATTATATTATTGAATTACATTTATTATTATATTATTATTTTTTATGATTATTTATTAAATTATAATGTATGATTTTGTGTTTCAAATTTTATCATACCCGGGATGTTTACTAGACTCTTGTTCGGACAGATTTCAGTGAGTTATTCCTAAAAATTACAGGCCTACAATTAAAAAAATACATATTTCCATGCAAAAAAGGGACTGTTTTGAGCACAGAAATATGGACATAATCAGACCGCTAGGGAGGTTAATGGTTCTTAACAAGGAGGGTCTTAGATCGGGTTACTTTAGGTCACCACTCGTGTCACTTTGCATCTGAGTAGATGTTTTTGCAAAGATACCAAATGCAGTAGTAATCTTGCAGTTGCATTGCAATGTGCATACTGTATCTGTATCTCTTCCTTTTCTGGAGGTCAATGCATCTTCATGATTTAAAACTTAATCAGACGCTATTTAGTAGAGTAGTACTTACGGTATATATGTTACCACTTCTAAAGTATAAGATAGTTACACCTTGAGGATGTTTTAGCTCTTGATTTCCTATAATTTACCATATGTTCTGACACTAAAAGCCTCCATATTTACAGATATGCGAAGGTAACAAGATCACTTTTAAAATGAGATCAGCAATTTGTTTTGAGCCTGGAGGGTCTCGTCAGCATTGTGCCCAACTGAATCCAACATTCTGAAAGAGCTCTTATTTTAATCTGGATCAGTTATGCCTTGATCAAAGATGCTGAAGTAATTTGTGATATAATCAGGGCAGAAGCATTGTGATTAAGGCTCCATGTACACTGCAGCTGATAAACTCACGTTCAGGAGCTTTTCTGTGTTTTTTTCAGCAGCCCCCTGAACTCAGTTTAATGTTTTCCTATGTGTCCATGTACACTGTGTCGTTTACAGTCATTTACAGGCAGTTGAGTTTACAGTTGTTTTTTTTGAAGGCAGAAAACTTGCGTTCAGCAGTAGATTTTATCAGCGTTTCAAATGCCAAATGCTTGTAAACGCATGTAAACATGGCTAACCATGTTTTTGTGAAATATTTTTTAACTTTTCCATTTCCAGATGCTGTCCAGAGCCTTTTTTCATCATGAAAAATGCACGCAAAGCATTTTCCCAGTACTCATATGGACCTGGTACACCATACTTTGAGGTTTTGCATGAAAGAAAATATGCTAGACACTGCTGCAATAATATCTGCACAGAAATGAGCTGGAACACATCCAAACACCACAAAAAATAAATGACAGCTAATCTGCTCTCTCTGCTTCTGCTCTCTCTATTTCTCACAAAATGTCTGAAATAGTTAATTTTTTACTGTTTTTCATTGCATTCTGGGCATTTGGGAAGGTCTCCTGAGGTTATATTTAAAAAACGCTTCTAAACGCAAATGCTCATAAATGCGCATAAACACAGTATGCAAATGCTGCTAAAGAGATGTTTTTTAACCTACATTTTCTAGCAGTCAGTTTCCATTATTCAGAAGTGTCTCGTGTACATGTAGCCTAACATTTGGAACAGAACACTCTTAGGGCTCATTTACTTATTGTTAGCCCCCTGAAGAGCAATATGTGGTAAGTTGCTGTTCAAAGAGTATTTGACAGGCTTTGAGGAGGTGTTGTTATGTAGGTTTGTCACTGCCTGTTTAACTCTTAAGAACCTGCACCAGCATTGGACAAGGTTGTGGGGCAGCGGCAATGCAGCCCCATTCAGTTGACCGAATTGCATTTAATCGGGGAGTACAGCATGCAGCATTTACTCCCCCATCCCCCATCCGCTGCCTTTGCAGTTTAACAAGGAGCAGTTGAGGGGCAGCTCAATTACATGTTTTTACTGCCCCCCCCCCCCCCCACTCACTTGCAGGATCTGAAAACCAGGAGCTGATTAGGTCCACTCTTGAGCATAGTACTGGATTCCAGCTTTTATGCAGGCCATAGACAGTTCAAAAATTGGCCGATTTTTCGTCGGAAAGAATAATCGGCCAATTTTCGCACTGTTAGTGGGGCAATGGCATCAGCCAATTTTCGTGGTTCCTCCTCATTTCTTTTATCAGTTATGCTGGAAAATTCATGAAAAACGACCTAATTTCGAAATCATTGATGGCAACATCGGATTACAGAATGAACGAGGTTTCGTTTTTCAGACCAAAAATCATTCGGGATTCGAACCGTCTTTGGCCTGCATTAGTGATGGTTCTAACAGTGGAGCCTCCCATATACAGCCACCCGCAGCATATGCTATTTTCTAAATTTGAGAGAGAAGTTTCTTCAATCCAGATTTAAAACAGACCTTTGCCTAAATGTCACACTTTCAAATAATGTAAAGCAATAGAATTAGAAAACAAAATAATAGTTTTTTCTCTTTTTTTTTTTTTTGTTCTTTGTGAATTAACCACTTGCCCGCCAGAGGATTTACCCCCCTTCCTGACCAGGCCATTTTTTATGATACAGTGCTGCATTGCTTTACTGACAATTGCGTGGTCATGCAACACTGCACCCAAATTAAATTTATGTCCATTTCTTCCCCACAAATGGAACTTACTTTGGGGTATTTGATTGCCTCAAAACAAAAACAATATTTTTGACTTTTTGCTATAAAACATATCCAGTAAAAAATCTAATTTCGTCATAAATTGTAGGCCAAAATGTATTCTGCTACATGTCTTTGCTAAAAGAAATCCCAATAAGTGTAAATAAATTGGTTTACTTGAAAGTTCTAGCGTCTACAAATGGCGGTATATTTACTGAAATTTTTTATTTTTATACTACCAATGGCGGTGATCAGCGACTTATAGCGGGACTGTGGGACTGCGATAGGCAATCTGACACTGGATGGAAACTAACTGTCACTGACATCCCCAGTGACAGCATACAGTGATCAGTGCTAAATAAAAGCACTGACACTGTACTAATGACACTGCGCAGGAAGAAGTTAACATCTGGGGCGATCAAAGGGTTAACTGTGTGCTGTGTGTGTTTTTACTGTGTACTGTGTGTGTGTTTTACTAGGGAGGTGTGCTGTTTTGCTATGCAGAACAATACAAAGCTGCATGCTGGAGCTGACAGGGGAGAAATCTGTATTGTTTACATACAGACCTCTCCCCCGTCAGGCATAGTCGTGGATTGTCGGGTGCTGGCAGGGAATCTCCAGCCAGGACCCTGTGATTGACAGCTGTAGCCCCCAGTGCCACGTGCCCCCTACCCGGCCATACAAAGTCACGTATATATATATATATTTGTGATTTTGCGCAGCCCTGCCGCCCTGTAGCAGTATTTGTGCTATATGGCAGCGGGTAAGTGGTTAAATAAAGCCTCCTGTACGCAGGTGAATTTCTGGTTTCTTAAATGACAACTAAACCCAAGAACAAAAATGAATTATGTTGCAACTTACATTCCTTGGATACGGTGGCTGCACTGGTTTTCTTTTCTTTTTTTTTTAGATAATAACATTTTCAGCAAGTACAGAAAATACCTTTTGATCTGAACATTTTCCTTCCCAGCGATTTTCTGTAAACTACAAATTGCCCTGCCTCAAATGTAATAGAAATGAAGAGATACAGACCTATTTGGCCCTCCTAACCCTCTTGTATTGAACTGTATTGTTGCTGTAGTGTCGTTAAATTGTAAAGTGCTGAGCAAACTGTTGGCGCTATATAAATCCTGTATAATAATAATTTGTAGTCCATATCAGGAGAGCAGCCTGGGATGACAACCATGGCTCCCTCAATAGATACATTGCAGTAGCAATGAAGCCACCCAGAGATAGGAAGTGTAATACTTGCAGGATAACCAAGTGAAAGTAAAGGAAGCTTGAAAAAAAGGAAACAAATGTAGCCACCACATCAGGGATTAATAAACTGCAATATATTACATATTTGGTTTCAGGTTTAGATACACTTTTAATGTTTTATGTTACTATGTTAATATTTAAGATACATTAAACATGCTGTTTTTGCATTTTTGACACCTGAAACATAAAACGCTCATTAGTTCTCATATTTCAATAATATCAATAATTCACTTCACAGCGTACATTGCAAACATATGTTAAACTACTTGGTTCTTTTATTCCATGAAAGAATATTTCAGGATTTAAGCTGGTAGTTACATTTCCCCCTCATTTACGGATTATTTTAGGCAATAAGGTTGTTAGGTATTCATAAAGCTGCAGGTACTGCTATCCCAAGTGTCCATATGGTGCTTTGACGAAAATTGCCTCATTTTGCCAGAAACAGCTGTCATAGTGTAGCAGAATTTGACTTGGCTCATGCATTAAGGAAATTGTTAAATGAAAGCGCACATTGCTGGTGTTTTTTCATGTCGCTGGCAAGTAGGATTAGACACACAACAGCCTGCTAAAATTTATAAAGGCATTTTCAAGGACTGTACATTAAGAATTATTTTACTTTTTGTTAGTTCCTAACTTTGAATGTTTGCTAATATTTAGTTGTAGTATATGTATATATGCCAAGCATGATTGGTTTGATAAAACCTATTGTACAATTGTTTATTTCCATCATAGTATATTGTTTATCCTGTTGACCCTTCAGGATATTCTTGAAATTCTGGTTCAGAGAAACCAGAATAAATGGAAACCTGGAGTTTGATGTTTTAACTGCAGATGTGGCACATATATGTGGCCTCTTGGTGGGTGGGC